GTGTGTGTGTGTGTGTGTGTGTGTGTGTGTGTGTGTATGAGTCACCCTGTACCCCCCGGGGTGCCATCTTTGGGGCACAAGGACATTCAGTTCAATTAGTGGTTCCCAGAAGCCAGTCTTAGGACTACATTTTCATTGGTCCATGATGAAAAAAATAAGAAAATTTCTTATACTCTAATCATATTAATTTTTACATTTCTGATTTAGGTCCTATCTATTTTATCAGTATCAGATTATACTTTCTTTTGTGCTAGTGGTAGTAGATGGTCTTGGGGTAAGTTTATTTATTTATTTTGAGAGAGACATAGACAGCACGAGTAGGTGAGGGGCAAAAAAGAGAGGCAGAGAGAGAATCCCAAGTGGGCACCGCAGTGTCAGCACAGAGCCTGATGTGGGGCTCAAACTCACAAAATCGTGAGGTCATGACCTGAGCCGAAACCAAGAGTCGGACACTTAGCTGACTGAGCCACCCAGCCACCCTAGTCTTGGGGTTTTTAATAAGTCTGCACATGACAAAATAAAACAGTAGGAACCCCGTACATTCACAATCCCTCTGTTAAGCAATGTATTGACTTGTGAAAGTCTAGACCAGCCAGGGGCCCTGACCAACAGCACAGACACCTGCTCAGGCATAGGGAGTGGCTGCATTGAAGACTGTAGGTTACATGGGAGGGAGAGATCAGAGAGGGCTTCTTGGAGGCAGCAGTCCATCTCCTGGAACTTGGAAAACTTGGCCAGGAGTGTTACCCAGCCTGCACAACAAGAGAGACTGCCGGAGGTGAGGCCCGACCCAGGCACTGTCCCTGAGCCAGACGGTTGGGGCAGGCTAGGGCCTAGGGCAGCTCTGTGGGGTTCATCCCCCAAGCACAGGATCCTATCCCCCTGAGGAGTGCTGGAGCAAGGCTGGGTATTGATGAGGTGGGGGTAACTATGAGGGGCATTTGGTTTGGCTGGGGTGGGAGGAGCTGAGAAAGGGGGCAGGAAATGCTCCCCCCACCTGTTCCATTGCTCTCAATCTCCCCCCTCAACACACACACACACACACACACACACACACAGACATACACACATGTACACACACACACACATTCTGACTGTCAAACTGCTCCCTTGCCTTTTACAATGGAGTGGCTACACCCTGGGGCAGAGCCGCCACTTTATGACTGGGTGGCCTCTGAGCCTTATCTGTAAAGGTGGGGGGGAAAGCAGTAACCCTCACTCAGTGAGGTGTTTCATTTGTGGGCCGGGGAGTGACTCACCAGCTAAACACCTCCAAGACTCAGACCATGAGAGCAGCCTGGTTACAAACAGGGAAACTAAGGCTTAGAAAAGGGAAGGGACTTGTTTAGTGCGTGGGTTTCAGTGGGGAGTCTGCCCGGAGCGTGGCCTGGCACAGATGCTGGCTCTGGCACTCACTCATGTGTATTCTTGACCAGTTAACGGCACCTCTCTGGGCCTCAGTTTCCTTGCCTGTGAAATGGGGTGGGACCAGGAGTGAACCGAGGCTGTTGTGAAGAGGGCGCCTAGCTCATGAAAGGCCTTTGGTGATGTGTGTTGCTCGTCCTGTCACCCAACACTCCCCAGGCACAGAGCCTTTGCTCCCCCACCTCTGTGTCCAGTGCACCCCAGGCGCTGTCGTTGGTCGTGAGAAGCCCGGTGCTGGGGTTTCGTGGCCAGGCTGGGACAGCACTGCTTTCCTGGCTCTTGGGAACTCCCCAGACCTGCGCCAGATGGATGGGCGGAGAGATGGTCCGTGGCTTGGAGTGTTCCTGACTGTCCACCTGCTGGGACTGGCCTAGTGCCTGCCCTGTGGCACCACAGGCTAGAGCTGTTTCTCTACCTGCTGGCCAAGGGGTAAAGCACTTGAGGGCAAAGATCAGGGTCTCTTCTCCCCCCACCCCACCTCCCATCAGCCTGCAAAAACCAGGAAAGGCCTGGATGGAGACTATGAGGCAAATCAATACATTCTCAGGGAGTGGCCTGGGGACCCATGTCTGGGACCTTAACACCAGGCAGAGGGTGAGGGGCACGCCCTTTGGGGCTCTGCCCAGCTCATGGCCTCAGCAGAGTTGGCAGCCTGCAGGAGGCCTCTCGGGTAGACAGCTTCCTGCTAGGTGGCTAGGCAGGCCTCCCAGCGCATAAGAGGTTGTGAGGGGCCCTGTCACCCTGCTGCTCTGGGGCTTCTAGGCGGGGCTGAGCCGAAGGCAGACAGAGCTGACCTCACCCCGGCTCCTGAATGAAGTTGTTAGCAGTGTTTTCTTCCTCGGCTTTGGTTGGACTTTGATCAGTTTCTCGTGGAGGAGCCATGCCATAAAGCACCTTGCTGCGTTCCCGTCACATTCTCAGGAGAACTTTCTCCCCTCTGTGCATAAGCCCCATCCAAGGGGTATGTGGGAACGTGTCACATCACGGGGCAGCCATGGATGCCCACCTGCTACTCAGAGCTCTGAGCTCAAAGGAAAGACCAGATGTCAAAAGACTTCGGAATCTGAGAAGCTGGCCACACACAGCAGCAAAGACGGGGCTGCCCTTCAAGACGGGCCCTGGCCTCTGGGTGGTCTTAGGTCTGGTATCAGGAAATTGCTCATCCAGACATGCAGAAATGTTTCAAGCTGCAGGGGAAAGGGATCTCAGTCACCCAGGCCACCCCTTTGCTATCCATGGGGAAACTGAGGCCCAGAGAGGAGCAACACACATCTTCAAGAGCTGGCGAACTCTGGAGCCCTTGTGGGGCAATTTTCTTTAATACTTAGAGACCTCAGCTTCTCTTTCTCACAGAAGGGGCTGCAGTTCTGGTGAAAATCTGCACTTCCTGCCAAGAGAGCCACCTCGAGGGGTGGGGGATAGGAGTGACTGGGAGACTAGGCCTCATGCTCAAGACCAAGGCTGGGAACATTCTGGGGGTTGGAAGGGATTCTGGGGGCCCACTCCCCTACCCCATCATGCCTTGCTATGCCTGAGTCCCCTTCAAGTGGGGAAATGTCCCCTGATGACTTAACCCCACTCTTTTCAGGTTGAGGCTTACACTGGCCGGGTTCAGATCCTGGCTGGGCCACTCACTAGCTCTGTGGCCTTTGGGCAGGCAGCTGGTGTCTTGGATCCTCATCCGTAAAATGAGGAGAAGGTGGTCTCCTCACAGAGGGATTAGGACCCAGTGAGGTCAGACAGGGTCAGAAATGCAGCACCTGGAACATTGTAGGTGCTCCGTGTTCAGCCCTTCCTTTGGGTGTGGGAGGACTGTCCATCCCCTGCTAGCTGGAGCTTGGAAAAGTCTACAGGGCAGGGGCCGAGTGTGGTTCATGTTTGTGTAGCCTTAGCACCGAGCACACAGTAGGCGCCTTGCCTTCTGCGTAGGCTCGTAACCTTTGTTTTCCCCTTTTGCGCCTGTAGGGGGCCGTTCTGCTGTGAGTTACGTTTCTTGAGGACAAGTTGGCAGGCGGTCGGTGCCCGCATGTCTGTTGAATGCTGCAAACCGACCCCCCCGGTCCAGGCAGCAGTGCTGCGTCCCCCTCCCCCCTCCTTAACGCTCCCCCTGCCCTGTGCTTGCCCCGCAGACGCCAGCATGTCTCCGGATGCCACCAAGCCCAGCCACTGGTGACGCGATTACCTACTGGACACCGGACGCGTGTGGGCCGCCTCTACGCGGTGTACGACCAGGCCGTGAGCATCTTCTACGACCTACCTCAGGGCAGCGGCTTCTGCCTGGGCCAGCTCAACCTGGAGAAGGCAGCGAAGTCGAGGCAGGAGCTTTCGATCGGCCAGTTGCTGAAGAGGCTATCCCAGAGGGTCTGGGCTTAGGCTAACCAGCGGCTGAAAGCACCCCATCTTCGTATCAACTTCCCACGCGCCAGCGCCGTCGCTAGCTGCCTGAATGCGCAGATGCCGTCCCTGCTTCTCCATCAAGGTGTCGACTGTACGTTCGGGCCTGTCCAGCAGGGGGGCCCGAACCCGGCCGCACGGCCCCGACTAACCGTCGCGATCACTCGGAGCGTAAGGGCTGGGGGCCTCTGCCTGCTGACAGTTCATCACCTCCTGCCCCTGCTGGCTGGAGGTCCTCCTCAACTCGAATAAGCGGCGCATGCCCCATGGTCAGAGACTTCTAACCACACGCCGCATCACTGATTGACTCGACCTATACTATCATCTACCTGGATTTAATATAAAGTTTTATATATTATATGGAAATATATATTATACTTGTAATTATGGAGTCATTTTTACAATGTAATTATTTATGTATGGTGCAATGTGTGTATATGGACAAAACAAGAAAGACGCACTTTGGCTTATAATTCTTTCAATACAAATATATTTTCTTTCTTTCCTCCTTCCTCCTCTTCTTTATTATTTTATTTTATTTTATTTTTTAAGAAAATGATACAGCAGAGCTAGGTGGAGAAGCCTGGGTTTGGCGTATGGTTTTTGAAATATTAATGCCCAGGCAAAAAGCTAATACCAGTCACTCGTTGATAATAAAGTATTCACATTATAAGGTTTTTTTTTTTTTTTTTTTTTAATGTTTTCTTTCTAACAGCGAGGGACATGCAGGGCTTCGGTGGGTTTCTGGCCCATCCAGCGCACTGAAACTTGATTTCAGTCTTTTACCAGATAAAGACTAGAGGGGCTAAACTGACAAGGGAGGAGGGGCATATGTTTACTGTTAAGGCCAGAGAAGGTTCTGGTGTTCCCTCCTGCCCGTGGCTTCGGTGTGTCCACAGGATGGGGGGAAGGGAGGGTACATGGCCGTCCATCCTGGATAAACTCTCCCAGTCTGATGGAGGAGGCTCAGGTCCATGCCTCCCATCTCTGAACTGTGCACAAGCTAGAAGACACTGATTCTCAGCACTGTGGGGAAGTGGCCTGAGGAAGAAAGACAGACAGTGGGCCTCAGGCCCACCTACCACCTTGGGAAACCCACCTGAGCCCCAGGGTGAAGCTCCTTTTAGGACCTCCCACCCCTCACCAAAGAGCTCAGAGCTAGGCCATCTGGGGTTGTATTTATGATTCATGCAAAGGCAGGTTGTTTCTCTCTGCTCTATAAAAGGGAAAAGTTGAGGTTCGGGAAGGGCAAATGACTAGCTCATGACAGATCAGGGTTAAAAGTCACATTTAATTGTAGGACCAGAGCCATATTAAATCCGTTTTCTCTCTTGAGAAAACTCAAGAAAAGAAGGCTTCCTTGGCCAGATAACTAAGGGGAATGTTACATTGTATATCTTCTTTCTTGGAGATTTACATTAGCATATTAAATGCTCTGAGAAGTCGTGTGTATTATCCATTGCTGCGTAATAAATTATCCTAAAACGTAGCAGCTTGAAACTAACGTTTCTTATCTCTCGCAGTTTCTGTGTTTCAAGAATGCAGGAGCGACTCAGCTGGGTGGTTCTGGTTCAGGGTCTCGTGAGGTTGTAGTCAAGCTGTCGGCCAGGGCTGCAGTCATCTGAGGCTTGTCTAGAGTGGGCCGACCCACTTCCAAGCTCACTCACGTGGCTGTTGGCTGCAGGCCTCGGTTCCTCACCACACAGGCCTCTCCACCGGGCTACTCGTGACGTGGCTTCCCCCATAGCAAAGGATCCAGATGAGGGAGAGAACATGCGCGAAGCTCTCATCCTTGCTCACCATATCTCGGAAGTGATCTGCAATCACTTCGCCACGTTCTACGGATCACACGAACCATTCTTGCTAACGATGTGGGAGGGACAGCATGAGAATCTGGATGTCAGGAGGTGGGGATCATGGCCACCATATCCTCTAAGAAATAGACCATTGTGCTTTGTTTCCCAAAGTTATTTACCAATGGACTCTCCCCACCCCTGCTAATCCTGTCCCTGTGGCAGGGCATACTGGCACCATTGTCAGGTGCTGGACACACCAGGGCACCCCACCCTGAAGCCCTGCCCTGAAGATGCCCATCGGGATGCTGGTCTTACTGGGTATTGGTGTGGGGTGAGTGTGGGGGTCACTTTGGGCTCAGGCAGTTAGCGGAGTGCCAGATGGAATAAGGAGCCACTTTTGTGGGCATGTTATGGCTCTGGTCCTCACAGGCAAGCCACAGGTTGGGGGTGGCGGAGGGGACAGGAGCAGAGGGGAGACACCATGGGAGTGGCAGAAACCAAGAGGCATCCGTTGCATGGAACCCCTAGAAGTCAGCAGAAGGGTAAGCTTCAGACCCTCGTGCTCTGCAGCCAGAGTGCCTGAGTTCAAATTCTGTGTCTGCCATTACAGGATACACCAGAGACTTCTCAATGTGCCCTGGTATTATTACCATAAGGTGGTATGAGATGGAGATAAAAATTGTTCCTACCTGAGAAGTAGGTTTGGGAGAAATCAGGACATCACACAGTTCCTGGCCCATCATCAGTGCGTATCAGCTATTGGGACTGGAAAGGGAGGCTGGGGCCCTCAGATGTCAGGACGAGGAGCTGGGGTGGCTTTTGGGGGGCGGGGGAAGGAGCTGGTTTCTGTGTGGGCCGGGGAGGTGGTCAGTGCAGGCCTTCAGGAAGCTCTTTGTAGGGACTTCCCAGTGGGAGGAATGCGCAGGCTGCAGGCAGGAGCGAGTGGGCCGAGCCCTGGCTCCCCAGCTACTCGTGTTCACCAAAGCCAGTCTCTCAAGAGGGGCTCTTTGCTCTCAGAGGAAGCAGCCAGTCACCCCGCAGTGCCTGGGGGTGGAAGTTATGATCACAGTCCCCCTTCATCAGGGAGCAGGAGGCACAGGGGATCGACACTCCTTTTTCATAGATGAGGAAACTGAGGCCCAGAGCAGGGAAGTGTTTACCTCAATCCTATGTAACCATGGATGTTTGGATATGACCTGGGTCGCCTACTTCCCCCCACAGGGTGTATTCTGTGCGGACCGGCAAGGGACATCCTTTTGCCATCTTCCAGATTCTCGGGGTCCCCGCGGAGGCAGATGGCATCAATTCTGGAGTTAAGCCTCATAGGCTGTGCTTTCTCCTGGTCCCCCTCTAGCCCAGGTCCTTTCATTCCCTGTTGCCACTCTCGGGCCTGCGCCCATGTCCCCCTGCCGCCCTGTACCGTCCAGGCGTTGGTCCTCCTCTCGAGCATTTTCAAGCAGTCACTGTTTGCCAGCCCTTGCTACACGCAAACAATTGTTTACACACCTCGAGTCCAAGAGAACCCCTGCAGCGACGGTCTCAATTGTTGCCCCTTTTCAGATGGAGAAACCAGGCTTACACCTGTGTGCCCCTTTGTCCGAGGTCCCTGGGGGAAGGAACAAGCCCTCTGTGTTGGATGCCAGCTGGGGGCTCCCCCTGGGTGCCGGTTGTGATTGGCTTTGTGGAGGTGGGCCTGTCCCTCGGGGATAGTCTGCCAGCATGAGGGCTGAGTCCTGGGGCCCCGGGGCTTCAACCCTACGGCTGTCTTGCTCCCAGGCCTGCCCCCCTCCTGAGGTTCTTGGGTGGCTTCGAGTGTCAGGGAGAGGCCCTGTAGCGGCTGTTCTTCATGGGGGTCTGAGACTCCCGTGCCAGCCCCTTGGTTCACAGGTGGGGAAACCGAGTCCCAGACAGAAGAGACTGAGTGGCCGAGGTCACGAAGTGGCAGCAGGACCTGCCACCCTCCCCCCTCTCCCAGTCACGGTACTCGGGACTCGCAATAACTCTGCGGTTTCCCCCAGACCACCCAGGGATCCAGTGACTCAGGCTCCAAAGGAGACACTTTCTAAACAAGGCTGGGTCTCTGGAGAGTGTGGTGGGAGCCTGGTCCCTGCAGGCCCTGGGAAACGGGGTGGGTGGGGCTCACTGCCTCCCAACCCAAGCTCAGGCCTGGAAGGGGGTGGGGGGGGGGATTTCCTGCAATGACTAGGCTTTTGGAGGAGGGTGGGTCCCTCCACTGCCCCCTCCCCCCATCTCCAGTCCCACCCCTGCCTTAGCCTCTAGGAGTGTCTGGGGGTGTGGCGGTGTGGGGGTGGAGGGGTTGATCTAGGAGTGAGAGAAGCACAACTGGGGGGGGGGGGCGGGCCTGGAGATCTTGTTTCACGCTTCAGGTGACAAAACCCAAGGCCCAGAGAAGGGTGTGAGTAGTCTGAGGTCACACAGCAAATTCAGGGCAGAGCTGACCCTACACCTCCAGTTTCAGGACTCCTGGTCTAACTGTTCCCTCTGAGTTCAGGCAGATTCCGTCAACGCTCTGGAGAGCATTGACACACTTCTGCTCCCCTCCGAGAACTCATGCCCTCTTACCCCTGTCCCGGGAGCTCCCGTTCCCTGCCCCCCACCCCCGTAGTTCAGGAGGCTTAGTGGCTGTAGCTGTCTTGCTATAATCCTGACTCTGCCGCCTACCAGTTATGTGCGTTGAGGCAAGTTACTTAACCTCCCAGTGCCTCAGTTTCCCCATCTGAATACTAATGAGTATTCACCTCCTAGAGTCGTTGGGAGGATATAGGAATGAGTGCATGTTGGGCACTCAGAACCGACGGGTATTAAGCTCTTGGCAGGTGTACTCACAAACTATACTCACTAGTATAATTTGCGGGCTGGAAGGTAGCTCAGGTTGGTAAGAAAAGCTTTGGTTGGGGACTGAGCAAGTGTTAAGAACTCAAATCCAGAGTCCTTAACTTGCTGTTGGCATTGGGCAACCAGTCACCTGACCTGTGTGAACCTCTGTTTCTTCAGTGAGAAAGGAAATCCGTGATCCGCCGGGACATTTGTAGTCGGGGCCACCAGTGTGTCCCCTGGCCAGCTGCTGTGGCCTCTTAACTGGGCCTCCAACCTACTCTCTACCCAGAGTGATGCTGTGCACCCGAATCTGGCAGTGCCCCCCCTCCGCAGGACGGTGACCCC